TCATAAAGCATTTATCTATTTAAATGTATTAGTCATTTATATTTTTTTCTTTGTTGCTTTTATGAATTTTCTTTAATATTAATGCAAACCTTTTTTGTCTTACCTCGTATCCTGTCACAATGTAAATTTCATTCCTGTGTTTTGTAGTCGTCTTTTATCATGTTATGATAGCAACGATCTCGCATCTTTACAATAAAATGGAAAGTCGTACCATTTTTATCAAATTTTAAGGGGGGATAGGTATGTAGTTTCTTTCCAAATGAACTTTTGAGAAGATCATTGAATTTTATCATTCCGTTTTCTTTTCAATATCTTCTGTGCACGGCCGATAATTATATCCAAGAAATGCATAGTTTGCTTCGCTTAATTAATAAAGAAATTACAATCATCTGCCTCTTATCTCAGTGACTTTTTTTCTCACGGTGGGCGGTTCTATTGACGCGTCCTCCTTCGTCAGTGCGGCGCGGCTAATCCGAAGGCGCGACAGCAAAGCAGGCACGCGCGCAACCCGTTCGTTCGCCGACGCGCCGCACATGCACCCCCGCTCCCGCCACTCTGTCGGTCGCGGACCGCTGATCCTCCCTAATCAGCTGGCGGCTGCGCGGCGAGGCGTCCGAAGCGAAGTTCACTGGCACGACAGCCACGCAGTTACATCGCGTCTCGCTTGCCTTACGTAAGGCGGCGGGGCGGAGATAAGGCCGGCCGCGAAAGCAGACGGCGCGTGCTGCCAAACTGTTTGGCATAGCGTGGCCTTGCTCTGGCGCCTGCCTGCATGTCTTCAGGAAAACCGGCTGACGCACGTCGTTCGCGACGACTTTTCGCGGAGAAGATTTTTCTCAGGAGTGAGACGTTTTACGAGTTTTTTTCCACTCACGTGTTGGGAATTGCTTTATTTACCTTGGCTTGAGTTTCCTTCTTTTTCTGGCTACTTTGCGTGGCAAGTAGTGGTTGTAACTGTCGTCCTCAACCATTCGCTGTTGAAGTCTTCGGCCACTGATTCTTCTTGTTAAGAATGTTGATATGCGGTCATTTTCTTTAATATTGTTTTCATATATTTTTTGGTGTATTGATTCTGTTAAATATTTCAGATAGTTTTGTTTCTTTTGAAAATATTTTTATACATCCGTGTTTACTGGTGTAACAACTAATTGGTCCTTACTATCCGTTTTCGTTAGCCTTCTTACCGGCTGATTTGGCTCGGCGCCTGTATTGCTTCTGTCGTAGCGAATATTCTGACCGGACACGCGTCTCGTCTCGGGATTCGCAACCCAGTGGAGTCGAATTTTCGAATGTACCTAGTACAATAGTTCGGTTGAAATCAGCTGCTATCTGGAGACGACTACGTGTGGCTGACTGCTCTAATCGGTACTTTTCATTGGTGTCTTTAATCAATACCAGGTGAATGCCAGAGCAGACCCTAAGATGTTCCACAGAGCATGTCTAATCTGTTCTTCGCCTTCCTTGTCCAATCCTTTCCTCTTGTGCACGCCCACGCACACAGCCCAGTCGTGGCCTTGGCGGTTGTTCCGGCTGGGTTGGTGCCCAGATGGGGGAGATACCTGAACGAGAGGTCCCCTGCAAGCCGATCGGCGTCGGATTCACCATCTAGCGAGGGAGACACACCTCCGCCTCCTGGGATAAAACGTCACCACTCTAAAGTGACCCATGACCACAGCAGTTCATGTTTCTGGAAATATCAATTGGGTAGCTGTCTCATTTGTTCGGTTAATTTGAGAACACCAGCAAGAAATCCACGACTGAGTTCTACTCCCGGCTTCAGTTCCGAGACGGCGGAATCTCTTTATTTTCACGTAACTATGTCCTGTATGAGGTTCACAATCAGAGCAAATGAAAAACGTATGAGTAATGGAGAGATTTTCTAGTTTTACTTCAATTCCCATAATTTAATACAGTTCACGATCTTATTCATTGAACAGTGGAAATCGTGCGTCGAAATTGTAGACAGACTACACATTATTCTTTGCCCGGGGTCCCCATGGCACGGTTACATGTTTATAGCGGATTGGAAAATAACCATGTTAAAAAATTCGACATTCATCATTCTACGTTCGTTTTAATGATATTTATTGCGATTAGTTATATTTTACAGAGATAGCTTTCCAAACTCTGGTTAACTTGAAAGTATCTTTTATCAAGAATTGCAGACCTCAATAGAAACGGAATAAAATTGTAGGTGCTTGATTAAAAATAATTTAAGAATTGCATTATCAATCTGTGGAATAGGTACTTTACAAGTTAATCTCTTTCCGATTATTGCATGGAAACAAATCGACGTGCAAAGTATATGTATGGAGGAGAGTGTAAGAAAGTGTAAGTTTCTTAGAATGGTGGAAGACGCTAGTGTTTGTGCAATACATTAATTTAAGTTACAAATTCGTTATATGTATACATCGAATAACAAGAAGCACGTTTTATTTATAATAGTTTTATTACTTGCTCAATGGATTTATTTCCAAAACCTGGCGAGGATGGGAATCGCGGACCCCACTTCGATAACAAGTTACTTACCTCTGTCTATTCGGGAAAAAGGTTAATAACGAAAAATCCGAAAGAGTCGTTGTGACGTGTGTAATTTTGAGGGTAGCGGAAATGTTTCCCATACTATAATAAAGCATTGCGCCGAAAATTGGGGACTGATTTAAAGTGCTTATGAATACTGATAGGAAGTTGAAATGAATGAAGTAACTTGTAATGAAAAAGAAACGTTCATAGAACATTTAATGTTATTAGTTAAAACAAATTTTCAGGTGCGTGTTTGTTAACAGTTCGAGGCTTCAATAAATTGAGATTGGTAGAAATGGGAATGAAAAATTCACATTCAAACAGGAAACTTTGTATGGATTACTGCACTTTCAAAGAAAAATGATATTATTCATATTGAGAATAATTGTGACAAATAAATAGTAATTTTAATTAGATGCAAACAAGAATAAATAAATGTGATCGTTTTTGAAACGTTGGAAATCATAATTTAGCGAACTAGTATGTAATAATTCGGTTTTATTTTTATGATCTTTTTCGTGGATTCCTGATTCCCATAGTTATAGAGTGCCAATATAGAATTCGTGGCCGAAATGTGAAGGATATAATAGACATTTATTTTGGTCCGCCATATTGTATCTGCGATTAGTTTTTAAATTATTTTGTTAGTTTCTTATTCTTAATCTGCAACCTCTAAAACCCATGCATGCAAATTTTCAAGCCAAACGTGCATATTTTGGCCGGGTTTTCCGCAATTGGGGCCAGTGTGTGTAACGTCATGTCGAATGTCCTTTAGCGAGGTCGGCTTTTGTTTCTTAATCAGCCAACAATCTGATTTGTTAGTAAATAATGATTTCAGAGTCAGAGCAATTAATTTTAACAGTTCCAAAAATCTTTGTTTAGAATATCCTTTCTATCGGCAAGGCGACACCAATCCTCGGGGAAACAATCTCTTGCGCTTCCATCTTAGAGAATATTAGCTATTTTCTTTATTCAAGAGAGTTCATAAAGACTTGTATTAAGCTTTAAATAGTTTGCAGAGACGATTTGAGGCAGATCATTTGACATTTAGATGGTCCATTTTGATAACAAGAGATACTTCGAAGCACGTTCAACGAAGTGTTTTTAACAGAGGTTACAGCAGTATTATACATTGAAACGATTAGATTGTGTTCTATGTTATCTTCGATGTGTTACTCCTACGTGATCGTGTGGTAGGATACAATCAAATTTTAAAAGTCAAGCATCTTTATAAATATCATGGAGAGTGTCCTTTCGTGGTATTTCGTTCATATCTTTTCGGTACCGCCAACGAGGAAAAATTCTTCGCGTTCTTCCCTACAATGAGAACTTATCGTATAAGTCTAGGATTTCCTCATTTCCTCAAGTTTCATAAGAAGCTGAAATTGTACTGAACAACTTCTCTTTCTCTCTCTAAGAAGGGAAACTAAATCACCACCACCAATATGAACATCAAATCAGACAATATAAGTCCACGCACAAGTTTAGCGACAAATCAAAGAATAATGCAGAGGCGATTCCAATAACACTATTATAAAGAAATGTAGTTTTTTGTTGGTAGACTTTCGCCTGCCTTTGCCTTTTTTGTTATTTCCTCAAAGATCAAAAACTAGAGAATGTCTCATCTGGGGAAGTTGAATATATTACAATCAATGTAGAACAGATGCTAAATTCGTGGTCATGGACTAAATAGGTTCAATGTAATGTTACATGAATGTATACTCGTATGTTACGGCGAAGTGGTTCATTCCCAAATTAGCTGATAGGTGTTCACGTTATCCAAAATGAGTGGATAACATGATCTAATTAATATAGATGCAAAATAAGCTGTTGTATACGGGTCTCTTCCATGAGACACTGCGTCCCGAAAAAAAATCGAAAAAGTTTAAATATATTCATGTCAGTAAAATAACAAATGCATTTTAATTTGTATTTACACAAAAAATTATTATATTATAATTTGTGTCATTTCAATATTTTTTTTCCTGTGGGCGGCCCTGACAAGATTTTGTTTGCTTTGAGGGGGGGTTATTGTAAGCAGCCTCATTTTCCCATTATCAATTTAAGAGCATACCATACATCACCAAAATTTACCATAAACGTTTATGACTGTAAAAGTAAGTTTTTGGGGTCCGGATGGCATAAAAGTACATTATACCCAGCGTCAAACATAACTTCTTAGAAATCATATTTTGATATTTACTTGCATGATGTTGACTAGAGAGCTATTTCATTACACTAAAATGCGTTAACCCGTTTCCAATCAAGCATTATTATTATTATTATTATTATTATTATTATTATCATTATTACTATTTTCTCACAGATCGTGAGTGACTGCCTTCAGCAGACCACTCGTCGCATTCATGCTCATGCGAAATTTCGATTCGGCTGGGACCAGAGAGCGTAGATTTCGGCTGCAAACAGATGTTCCCATGTCCCGTCGCTGACGGCTGATGGTCGCGCTCTGCCCGCAGTCCTGGACACGGCCGGTCAGGAGGAGTTCAGCGCCATGCGCGAGCAGTACATGCGCTCGGGCGAGGGCTTCCTGCTTGTGTTCGCCGTAACGGACCGCGCCAGCTTCGACGAGCTCTTCAAGTTTCACCGCCAGATCCTGCGAGTGAAGGACCGCGAGGAGTTCCCCATGCTCATGGTGGGCAACAAGGCCGACCTGGACCACCAGCGCGTGGTGAGTACGCGCTTGCTTTCGTGTTTATTGATGCCGCGCGGGTCAATCTCTTGGGTCATTGCTAAGATGCACGACATCATCCGTGTATGTCGATGTCTGGAGAGGTGGCGGACGTAGGTCTGCAGTGGGGGAAGATCACCGCCACTTACGGGACTAATGACCTTGGCCGTTGACGCACCCGATCGAGAGGTGACGGTGTTTCTCACCCCTGCTGGATCATGAGATCCGTTGACTTAGAACTTGTGCTAATTTAAAACCTAACTATGTCTTTCTCTCCGTTGCATTAATGAAGCTAATACTCTTGGACGTAACATAACGCAAGACTGCTTACCAGATACAAAGCATCACTTCAGCGTTTCTTCATTCCCTTTTTTAAAAATCTTAACGTAAGGAAATAATGTAAAGAATGTAAACAACCCGTTGAGAAAAGTTCTGAACTTTTTGAGGTTTATAAAGTTAAAAATAAAAGTCAGAGATAAGGGGGGAAATGTTATAATGTTCTTGTACAAGATTAGACTTAAGATATTTGCAATATTCAATTCACTGCCAACTAGAGTTAAGTAATTCTGGCCAGCATATGTATTCCAGTGTGTGTACGAAACAATAAATAGTGCTGCAACGTTTCTCATTTCGGAAGAATTGATTAAATGAATCATCACAAAATGGCTTTTTAAATCTTTCACATGTTCGGGCACACTTTTTAAAACTTTAACTGGTTAGTATATACAACGTAAGAACCCTAACATAAGGAACAGTTCTTCCTTCTCGGTTACGAAACTTTTCTTATTGTCGGGTCGCAAACTTGAAGCGTCCGGTTTGTTCATGCTCTTGTTTACATGTTCCATTATTCGTGAGGCACCAATATCGGACGGGTTGCATACCCTTCCTGCCGAATGCTTGCTCAGAGTTGTTGGAAATTTCCTCCCGAGCGATAATGAGTGGTTTGTACCCTTTGATTGCAGTGAAAAGAACATCAGTGAAGCCGTTCAGAGTTACAATTTTCTGCAGATGCTTGAAACGCTTTGTAATTATGATTTATTGATTCTCTTTGAAAAACTACGCTCACCTAACAACGTATTTCCTCTCTCCGAACCTTCCCCTGCAATTTAGGCCTTATTCCACATTCTACAGAATTTTAATAATTTAGTTAAACAGTTCATTTATTCTTCCTGTAACTTTAGCATAGTTCGTCCAATTGTACACTTTTTCAATGTACCAAAAACGTCAAAGAGAGAAGTTCCATTAAATATATCGTGTGATAATTTTCTCATAATTCATGAAATTCACAAACTCTCACACTAATAACTCTGAGACATTATGTCGGTTTTGGTTCCAAATAACTATACTGATTTTATGGTTAATTTAAAGTATAAAGAAAGAAATTGGAGCATTGCGTACGAATAAAAAACACTTGCACTTTCGATTACCTGGTCTCCCATGGTTGGGGAAAAACCGATAAACGTTCGGTTCAGTTGAACAAGCTATCTGAAAGACTAAAGAATCATATTTCGCTTCCCTTTACCAGAGAATATATAAACGAAGGTCAACAATTGCGGACGACTGCAAATAAAGGAGGTTACCAGCTAATTATTTGAAATTTCTGCATTCAAATTGTATTTCATTGAGGGCCCTAAACTATTAAGGGAGCGACAAACGAAAATGTTTTAACTTGAAGGCAAAGTTTTGAAGTCATCATGACACTGGAATTAATATCTTCTAGCAATTTTCTTAACCTTTGAAGTTAATTTAATATGATTTGGTATGATGTTAATGACTTGGTATACTTGCAAAAAGTTTAAAGATTAAGAATTCGTGTCAACGGGAAAATGCAATACAGAGTTACATTTTGATCTGTACTTGCACACTAGTGCTCTGTTACCTCATGTTAATCGGCTCTACATTTCTACCTTGCAAAGTAACATGTATTCATCATTATTCTTATTAGAACATAAAAGTTCTTCTCATCGTTATGAATGATATACTCGTTGAATGATACACTCGTTGCTTGTTGATTCTAATGCGCTTCTTTAGCAGTTTTCAAATTGCCCATATCCGGCCGCTTGCACAAACTCTTACCGCGCCTTCCTGCCGCAGGTGTCGCAGGCCGAAATCCACGGCCTGTCGCGGCAGCTGAAGATCCCGTACATCGAGTGCAGCGCCAAGCTGCGCACCAACGTGGACCAGGCGTTCCACGAGCTGGTGCGGATAGTGCGCCGTTTCCAGCTGGCCGAGCGGCCGCCCGTCAAGCCCAACTACAAGAAGAGCAAGAAGAAGTGCTGCGTGCTGTAACCGTCCTCCGCTTCGCCCCCCGCCCCGCCCCCTGCCCGGCCATGCCCTGCCCTGCCCTGCCCTGCGCCCGAGCAGACGCAGCCTCGGTCGGCCAGCCGCGTTCAGATGGACGGCACCTGCCCCCCCTCGACGCCGGTTTACTCGGTCACAGCCTCCACCGCGAGAGTGCCGGGTGCGCGCCCCCGCCCCCGCCCCCGAGATTTGAAAAGTACTATCACGACAGTAGAAGTGGGTTACGTATTTCTCTAAATGTTTTCGTGACAGGCGGTGCGCGCTTGTTGCTGGTGTGATAGCTACTTCCTTTAGTCACTGTCGCCGTGTAAACCGGGTTCGAAACGACGGCCTTACTAAGAGTAGTGCACAGGGATCGACAACGCGAGATGGAGAGAAGAGAGCTAGAGCTAAATCAGAAGCACGGGAAGTGCTGGCGCCAGTCACATGAGAAGCCCTCTTCGACGCAGAGCAGTGATCTGGTCTTCCTGTTGCGTGTAGGCCACGAGAATTGTAATTGAGTTAAATTGAGTTCAAAACAACTGTTAGGAATGACGCGCAAACCCATCAATTTACTAGTCTGCCTTCAAATTATTTGAAATTATCAGGAGGGAATGGCAGTTACAATATTCCCAACTAAAATAAATTCATTACTTCAGGTGGCACAATAAATGATAGTTACGTTGCTAATATAAAAAGGTCAAAAGTTAAATTTGAATAAACCCATTAGTGCATAAAAGTTATTTTTTTGCTGGTAATACTGATAACTAAGTTTAATTGATTACGAATCAAAGCTCAGAATTTGTTTTAGGTTTCTATTTTCGAGAAATCTGCTGTCTGTATCAGCAGACGCTTTGCACAGGGACCCCAGCGGAGCGCTTGGGCGGGCATCCGCCGAAAGATCGTGCTGCGGGCGCCGAAGACAGGAAATGCAGCTTTGAACAAGTGGGAGTTATAAGAGGTTATAATCTAAATATGACATTCGGTGACAATAATATCCTAGAAGAAATACTTTTTTCTCAGGCACAGCGGAATTGCAGAACAAAGGTTCTCTTGCATTTTCGGCTAATATATTTTGATTTCTTCCCAGAACCTTCAACGCCACACCCGTCAGTTATTTTTTGTCTGGCCAGTGATTAACCTTCATAAAATGAATATTTCCTCTGTTTTTTCAGGCACACTTCGTTAAGAGTTTTGCCCATATTTTTGCATTCATGAAAGAGTTGTGGCACAAATATAAGAAGTTCATTGAACAATTTCCTGCATTATACCATCAACCAAGCATTTACCACAGAGCTGCAAATCAAAGAAAATTTGGACTCCATCACTTTCTATATTTCTATATGTCGCTACAGTATGCTGCATTCTGTCCACTCTCTCTATAGCTTTATTTGACTTAAATAATGTGGTTGTAAAACAGACTATTTAAACAAGCAGACAATAGTTTCTTCCTATCACCATCTTTTATCTTCGGCTTCTCTAAAGTTTCATTCACATAAGGGAAGGAACTGAAGGAAAGAGCATGTTGTGCTTACTGAATACGAGTTTTCCAAGTGTTCTAAGTGCATAGTATCCACTGAAATAATAATATATTTCAACAATAAAAAGTATAAGAACTTTAAATATTGTGAATTATGCACTTTTGTAAAGAGTGCACATCTTGGCTACTATCGAATGTAAAAAGCATGTCTTTAGTACAATTATGTACAACTCTGCAATTTACCCCTTGTGGGGAATTTGAAATGAACTTTTTGTCCTGTTTATTACAATTTGACATTGCAAGCGATTTACGTATTTTCCCTGTGAACACTTCAGTCAAATTAGCTTTAACATGTAATCAAAGTAAATGTGAATTATTGAATAACAAATTAAGTAAACTAATAAAGTGCCACCTGATGGAGCAAACACCATCAGTTACAAGCTTTGCAAAATTATTGCTTTCTGCATATAACCATTTAATTATATTGAGATAATTTGGGTATAAAGTTTGGACAAAATATTTTTTTTTAATATTATAATGTTGATATGCTAGCCTATCTAATTATTTTTTGAGGCCTACATGGAATAGAGGTTCAATATTACCTTGTTGGATGAGACCTGGTTACTACTCTGGCACATGACAATCAAAATCTCTTGGAATTCTTGAAGGCATTGCATTCTAGGTAATGTTCTATGTGGAAGAGTGTTTATATGCATGAAAACTTATCAGAAACGTAAGGTAATTCAAATCGAAAGTTAAATTTCTTATTTGGACTTGAGTGAATGCTAGATGGTGTTGCCTTGGGGAATATCTAAGATGATATTTATTAGATGAGGAGAGTCTTATGTAGAAATTGACAATGATAAATTATACATCACTAGGTCATTGTGATATGATAATCAACATCGAATGTTACATGTGAAAACGAATGAAGAGAGAAAATTAGCATGTCCGTTAGTTTGCAATTCAAAGCTTTTAAGTTGTAATATTTCAGCATCACGCATTTCAAATTGTTCAAAGGAATTGAAGGAATTTCTATTTATGTATTCAACAAAAACGGTGTTAGAAATTTATATCACCACTGTTAAGAATTTTATTAAGTAACATCTACATTATGTAGAAAGAGATTGCTGCATTGGGTATCATATCATAAGAGGGATTATTTTTTTTATTTCAGAAAGTGTTGTAGCCCTAAAGTCCTCTCTCCTAAGCACATGTCTAGTTGAAGACCAGTAAAATAATTGAGAATTGTAAAAATTAGTTTAGAGAACCAATCAAAGCGAATGTTTACAAACATTTTGACCCCAGACTGGTACAGTACAGAACTTCTAAAGTGAGACTGAGAGAATAATATTGAGTGACTTGCAAAATATGAGTACCATCTAGTGGATCATGGGGCATGGTGTGAAGTATTTCCCTTAAGGATGTAATTTATTTTTCATCTACAGACACAAACATTTTAGTCCATTTGGGTCTTCAGTCAAAATAAATAAAAAAGAAAAGTATAATTTACAACTCGTTCATTACTCATTCACCACTCATTCATTATATTTTTAATTTCATTAATTTACTATGTGCACAGGTGCTGGCTCTTCGACAGTGAAATTTTATGTAGAAATCAAAAACAAGATATTGTGAACATGTGTTTGCATTATTGTTTTACAAAGCATATAAACCCGAGACAATGTTGTAAGTAATTAAATTAACTTTTGAAAATGACAAACCAAAAAATAATTTGGTTAAGCATATTTTTGGTTGTATTTGGATGATTAATAAAGATTGCCTGCCATTTCATGATGAATTAATCATAATCTTCCGAGATGTCTTACATATTCCGGAATGGCAGTGTGTTATCTTATACACTGAAGTATGGATTGTATATTGATTTCTATAGATATTCAATACACGTGCTTTTAAGAAATTTTCTCCAATGCAGCGAGCATCTTTCTAATTTCTGAATTGATTTGAATTTATATTTTATGTTTTGTGTCATTTAATTTGTATTTTCATGGATTGGTAATCATAGTTGTATGTATTTTGATAACTTGGTTGTTTAATCTCGTGTCATGTTGCACTAATGTATAATTGAAAGAGATGATGTTCTATTTGTAGATAAAGAATTATATTTCTTATTACAACTAGCGAAACCTAATGGTGAAGAATTGTGTTAAAATGTTTTGATGGTTATTATTAAATGTGAATTTAAACCCAATTGCATCTGCAATCATGTGGTGCCAAAATTCTTCTAATTGTAATGAAATATAAGAATTTTTTTTCTTTTAAGACCTTTTTTTCTCTCTTGTATTGACAAATTAATATAAAACCATTATGTAAATTATAAGTTTTTGCATGTTAAATGTTTTGGTGATTACTGTTAATTCTAAGAGTATTTTAATATATAAAAAAATGTATTATTGATAATGGCAATGAAAACACTCATTGGAATCCGAAAGAAGTTGGAGTTGTTAGAATTATTTTGTTTTTAAATAGTGAGAGAAGAAATGTAAGGCATTAGGAATATTGTCAGTTGCCCTCCATCTGAACAGACTATAATGAGGAGTGACATGATTAAAAGAGCATATTCATACTGAAGCAAGGCTTTCGATGGTATGCATGTGGGTGATGTAACGTTTGCACCCATTAATATTTATTCTCCAAAGCCGCTTACAGCCAAACATCATTCAATTGGAGAATATAATCTGGTGCTGTGTTGAGCTGCGTAGAGTTCAGAGAGCTGATGCTTTTATCATCATAATCATCACCTTCATGAACAAGTGTCATCAAGTCACTTGAACATCACACTGGTTGTGCACTGGTTCTGTGGCTGCATACGTGAAAGGTTTTTATGCACCCATTATTTTATTAGGCTTAACTAATACTGAAAGATATTATTCATTTTAATGTTATTGTTCAGATAATGTTTTAGATTCAGAAAAAGCAGCATTCATTTATGGTAGTATGTGAAGAAAAGTTGTGACACAACCTGTGCCACATGCCAGAGGATGGATGAGAAAAGTGTTGTAAGCCTTCTATCACACCAAAATTTTCTTTTTCCGTGTTTCAAATATTTGAAGTTTGTGTTTAACAGTAAGCTCATTCTAACAAACTAGACATTTCTCTGTGATAGAAACAACTTCCTATTTGGTGAAGTAGCATGTATGTTGTATTTGTCAGTGAACATTTTCAACTGAAATTTTTGTCAAATATCGAGAAGCATCTTAATGGCCGAATTTTGCTGGTAATTGATAAGTAGGTTTCACAAACTGCCTATGGCTGTGGGTGAAGGCATTAATATAAGGTAGCTGCAGATTGAACATGTGAAAGCAATGAAGTGAATTTTGTTTCTGATATTAAGTTCGAAGAATAAGCAGTATTTTCCATGTGCCAACAGATCCTTGCCTTGAAGTCTTAATAATGAGACTTTGAGTCTGTTCCACACATACAGAATGTGATTCAGGTGGGACCAGAGTGCAGATTTGAGCTTCTTCCATGAAGTTTGCAGCTGGAATTTAGCAATAAGCTCTATAAATTTTGTGTAGCCATATTTTCTTTTGTAATTACATAAACATATATTAACTTGTTTCTGCCTTTACATTGTACATTATATTCATTGGTCTTCTAGGTACTGTTGAACATTAGTAACAAAGTACAAAAAAGCACTGGAATATTTTAAATACTTTGATATTCAATAGATAATTTGATTGTCAATCACTTATTTTCATGTATTAGAGGAAAATCTGTCAAAATTGCCTTGATAATTGATTATAGTGTGAAAAACAATGATTAATTATTAAATTAAATTAAATATGAAAAGTTTAAATGCCGGTAGGCCACTTGTAAATTACTTAATTTGCAACCTCTGTTCTTCTCTTGTAATTATTTCTTGGAAGAAATTTCTTGTTTTGCAAACCTATGGTTGAGTACTAGGAACTGCTTTTTTGGAATAGGTGCTTTTTACCTATAGCATTCTTCATTATAGTGAGATGGATTTTACCCCATTTGTGATTAGGTGTAATTTTGCAAAACGCACATTTGAATGTATAGCAAAGAATATTCAAATCTGTACACTATCCCTGCTAAATACTACTTCTCTCTCCCATGTGTTTTATTGAAATGAAGGTGATTTTGTCAGTAAAGAATTAAATTTGGATTTATCATTGCACTGGCAACCCATGCACATTTTGTGAGCACAAATTTGAATAGTTGGCACAATCATCAATTCTTTTTTGCACATCTTTGTGTTTATTACATAATACACTTCGATGAGGAGGGGAAGAGATAATTAAACATATCTGTGAACCCTAACTATTGTGAAAATATGGACTCACTTTCAAATACATACAAATGTCATTATTGCAACCATTTCATTAATAGTGTGTAAATATTTGTGATTTTTATTGCCCTATTGTCTAGAACAAGTGCCCTGGTCACAAAAGTCTGTACATTTTTGACATAATGATATAGTTGTGTGATGAGGTTACATGTTAATGTGCTTATTTCTAATCAACCAAGTGCCTGAAAAAGAATGCTATTCATGACCTACATGTATGTCTTGATTGATAATTATTTTCCAAATGCAGTGTACAGTAGTGGAAGTTGTCACTTGGGTATGTTTTGGAGATACATTTTTACTATTGTCAGCACTTACAAATGTTATTGTCTCAGACTAACTCTAAATGTGGTTTAAAGCATAGATATGCCTTTTTTATGACTAAACATCTCAACCACGAAGAAAGTGGGTATAAAACTGACAGATAACAAAAACCATTTGCTAAAGAATGTTTCAGATATTATTCTTAATATATCTTGTTAATACATGGGAAAAAATTGTAATTACTGGTTATAATGTTAGTTCTTTTGTAATGAAATGTTCTTTCTAGATAAATAGAAAAGACTTGTATTTTACCCAGTGATGTGCTTCATTGTTTGATCTCATTCAAGTCTTCTGTGGTTTTTGGCTTCACAAATGAGGCATTCACATTTTTGTGTCAAAATGATCTGGTTTGTTGTTCACATATTGCACATAAATGCAGGTCATGTAGTTTATTAAAAATATTCAGTGTTTTTGTAGATGTAATAAGTATTCTCAGCTGGCTGAGATGGTGTTACAATTCTGTTCCAATAATTCAGATGCAAATATTTCAAGAGTTGGAAAATAGGGAATTTTTATAAATTTTAGAGCAGGTATATTTTCTGGGCAATGAAATTGTATGCTTCCTTGTTCAGTTTTTCTGTTTAAATTTATCATGTTTAACAGTGAGAATGTTTCATTCTTCTCTTTGAAAGATGATTTATTGGGCCTCGTTTTGAATGCAGCTGATTGGATACCGATGTCACACTGAGAAGCGCATTGTGCTTTTGTAAGTTCTAATATATATATATTGCATTCATACTGAATTGTTGGTTGCAATTTGTTATTTTACATGTGTATAAGTATATACATGTTACCCTTTTTACTCCATAAGGCTTTTCTTTGCGATATTTTGCAAGCAGCTTATAACATAGCAACTAAAGACATTTAAGAAATCCCATTGGAAGGTTTTCTTTACTCATGTTCATTGAAATGGAAGCTGAAATCAGAATGAAACGAGAACTGCAACTGTGTGTGAAGAGTTGTCTACCAGTCAGGCCAATTTGTGTGCAATATTTGTTTATATTGCAGCATTGCATGCAATCATGAAAAATATGTTGCAGTTGTTTTACCAATCAAAACTATTCGTTCTACTTCTGTGAACAAGTTGTTTGGAAAACATTGAACGTAGCAGATGACCGTTGGTCTGAAAGGAAAGAAAATCGTGGAAGTGATTGGAATTACAGGTGTCTTCCATGAGCAGTGTGCATGGAGATTTTATCAACTTCAATGTATTCTCCAGCTTTCAACTATGAAAAATAACTCATTAATAAGGTGTATAAAGAAAACTGTTAAATTGACAATAGTTTTATGGAAATGTTGCATTTATGTAAGTGTTTCGTATAAGCCAATTTTTGCTGTTATATATATTTTTATGACAAAAATAACAAACCTAATCTACCCCCCCAAGTTTCTTTAAATACCCTTGTGAGGGGGTTGGATATGTGTGAATTTTTTTCTCACAAAAATGACTTAATGTTGCATAGAGTTTGTATGATATACATTATACAGCAAATATATACTATACACAATTTTGAATTAGACTTTCATTTATTTAGTCTCAGGCTTATCCTTCCTAATATTCTAGAAAAGGTTCATGATGTCCTCCATTATTACATAATTTGTGATGTGTATTAAGAGGTTACAGAGTGATTTTTTTAATATTATTTTTGTAGTGGTGTTTAGTATAGTTACTTTGCAAATGCAGGATAAAAATACTGAAACTAAGGCATTAAAAATCTGTATGAGAACTTGTGCCTGATAAAACCATTGTGGTTGGTTATATTTAGACTTGTTGAAGGGATTTGTTCTGAAGAAGAAGAAAATTACAAGAAAATACTATTATCTCTTTTATTACAAAGGAATTCCAACATTTTCTGCTGGTCTTTTATAGAAAACAAAATAATAGAGATGAACTAATCCCTTGAAAAATTTAGGTTATATTTTGAATTTGGGCGTACTATTTATCCTGACCTACCCCCCAGACACACACAGGAGCACATGTATGGGTGAATACCATTGTAATTGTATTTTAGCTATTACAATAGAAAAGTAGGTATTCATTACTCTCTCCTGGGCAGTAGGTCTGATGGTTATCTCCCTAGGTGTTCATGTTGTCTTCATCTCTTCTATGGTCTTCATTTCCTTATACCTATATCTTGGTATTTTAGTGCTAGCTTTGGTCTGTTAAATTCCATTCTTTCCGTGAGTTTCAACCATTTTCTTTGATATTCCTTATATCCTCGCATATGTTTTTTTTGTTCAGTCTTTTTCTGGGCTTCATTTCTGTATGTCTAGTTTTGTTACACTGGCCTAGTATCGTAGAATTTTTTTTAGCAGGGTGAGACATAATCAGGAATAAGATAAGGAGAACAGAAACTAAAAACCCAACTCTTAAAATAATGAATAAGATAAGCCCAAAATAGTACCACAAGAATGGAGTGTGCAACTTCATCAAACTAGTGTGCAAACATTTTAAAACTCATGTGAATGTGTGGTGTAAAGAAATTTTTCCTCCTCTTAGTCACTAGTTATTACCCAATAACTTCTCATTTTCTAAAAAGTAGTGCATGACCTATTGAAAGGTTTAGAATTGAAGGATAAATTACATTGATAAAGAAACTGCCATAAAAATTGGAGATGTATGATATATTCATAATTAAATTTGAAATTCGCAATTTTCAAAATTTCATAGATTGTGAAGAAAATCCTTTATGGGGAAATCTCAGGGGATGGAGAGTTACATTTTTAATATAAGGGTAACATGAGTGGTATTTCTGCTTAACTGGAGGGGACGTATTCTGGAGATTTGAGGAAAGCTATGGTACAACTGTGGAGAAATGCGTGACGTGATTTTCTAAAGTTTCGAGTTGGAATACATTGCGCATCCGTTGCTTGGAAATAATCTTCGGTGTATTTGTAATCGTATGGAAGCGCCCTAACAGGCTTCGGCGAAATAGCATATACTGCACGGTGTCAAATTCACATACTTTCTAAGTGGTGTTCCCGGTCGCCTCGTCACAAGAAAAAAAACAACATAAACCATAGAGCTTCTCGATCGGAGGACGCCTTGATACATTTTACGAGGTTGTTACTAGTTTGGTAAAAAATTCCCAACAGTGATTTTTTCAAAAAAATATTCTAGAATACAAAATAATAAGAACAAAGAATATAAAAAGTGCGGAGAAATCAAAATTGTCATTAATAGGCTCTGAACGTTTGAATAGGCAATTATCTTTGATATAAGCATTTATGGGCACCTTCCCAAAAGCCATTTCTTAGGTGAACATGGATGATGGAGTGAGTTGTCTGAAAATACATTCAGAGAAATAAAATAGGGCATTGTCCGAGCTCTACATATACCTTGCTCAATGAGAGAAAAATATTTGAGCCATGCGTGAAAAAAAGTAATGCAAAGAACCCACAAAATCACAATATCGTTATGAATTCAAGGGATCGCGTCTTGGGTCAGATCTGTGGGGGAGCATCAATTTTGGAAAAAATCCTGTTAATGATTTAATCGCTAGTGTTGTTCACAGACGGGCAGACAGATGTACATACGTTTTAATACTACATACGTTTTGCCATAAACGAAATTTTCGGTATCTAGGACCCCAAAACGTGGGATATTCTGAACGTGTTAGAGAATTTATTATTATTATTCAGAATTTATATATATTTTCTATGCATAGAGGAATATGAGTAATCCTCTTTGCCGGCATCAGGGACCCGCACAACGAGTTTTTATATCGAAAAATCACTGTTTGTTGTTGAAATATTAGAATACTTCCCTTATACTACGTAAGTAAAATGAGATAAAGTAATGTGAAGTTTTTTTGAGAAAACTTTGAAAATGTTACGTATTTATGTATAGTACCTAAAAATTAAAATACCGGTTTCAAATTCGCAAGATCTCGAGTTTGGCCAAATCGATTGGGTAATATCAATTTTGGGGAAAATCGTCGGAACCGTTTAAGCACTAGTGTTGACTACAGATAGATTGTCAGACGTTTTGCTGTATCCAGAACCCCCAAAACGTGGGGTTTGACTACACAATTTGTTAGAGGAACGAATGTACTATACACAACAAGATTTGTCCACTGATTCTATACTAGCGTTCCACGATGCGAAATTTTCTGGCGCAAAATAGCCTCTCCCCACTACATCATTATAACTCTTTGTCTAAGTATAAAGTCGGCAAAAAATTAAAATTTGGACAATGAGCATGCTTTTCTGTACACTTGAGACGAGCGACTGCAGTGCGCATTCACAGACTGCGCCAGCAGTCACCAAACGCGCATGCACATCGCCCCCGAATCATTTCTGACCTTCGAATTTTGAGCAGTAGGCAAATCTATGGCCGTGTCTGATCTACATGTGATGCGTTATGCGAATAGGTACTTCAATGAATTATAGATCACTTACAACAGGACTTGCAATTCGCTTGCTTCGCCCTCAATCGCAGGCTATTTGGAGTAACAAAAACTAAAATTAATTAATTCGCGGTGGTGTGTGGCGTTCAAGAATGAAATAACTGGACAATAAGAAACAACATTTATTAAAAATGTACAAAACAGAGGTAGATACATTATTATGTATTACACAATTAAGCCGTATTTAAAATTCGTATCAAACAAATTCATTGGTCGAGACATCAACGTGTACAGTTTGTTATTCGAAAATATGAGTATGTTACAATTCAACACTTGACTCATAGCTACTATCTTAAATCTATTCTGAATGTTTTATAGGAACTCTGAACTCTATGCAGCAGTGAATAGATGGCCAGTAGTTAACCAGCGATTTTGTTTATATAGCTAACCGTTCATTCTTAACGCATTCACTAACATATTAGTCTCAAAATAAGCATATATTCCTACTTATTCTGTACTATATTCACAAAGAAACTTATGAAATAGGAAATGAGACATCTTCAAAATTGTTGCAACTTCTTGAGCATTCGTAGTAATTGTGGAAGAGTTGTATTGGATTCACGACTATTTTTAATGGATACCGTATTTGAAATACAAAATCGTCATGATTAAAACTGCAAACTATTGGAAATACAATTTTAACAAAGGAAATTGTTCTTTCTGCCCTTTTTGATCGTGTTTTATTCAGTTACCTAATTACTTTTAATTCAGTTAATTATTTTAGGAGAAAACATACATAAAGTAAAAGTATATTTACTCCAACGTAAGAGAACATTCGCCAACCCAAGACATTAATTGAATGTAAAAATTTCGTCGATCGACTAATGTACTTTTCCAATCTCGAGTTAAAGGAGACAGGTGTAGTGTAGGCTGCGTAATTCTTCAGCGACAGGTGGACGATCGATAATGTCGAAAGGTCATAAAGGCATCGACACCATGCAGCGTTCCGAGAAGCAATCCGAATGTCTGGAAATGAAGAACTCTTTTAATTAAGTTCATAGTAATCTATAATCTATGTAGATTATAAATTGTGATGAAGTAATAGACAATGTCATGGTCCATAATATGAAAATAGAAAAGCATAAAAAAAACAGATTTTCCCATGAAAAATTTCGTATGTATACAATTTTAAGATTTGTATTGCTTTTTTTCTTTGTTTCAAAAAAGGACTATCAACACACAAATCAGCGTAAATGAAGATCTTATTTTATTCAAAATTAATCCAAAACCAACAAAGAAATGGCTGATTAAAAATTGATTAATTTCTAGTAATTCCTGCGTCCAGTTTGCTGTATCTTCACACACATGAACGACACTGACAGGAATGTTCTTGCACTAAACATTGGGGAATGTATTCAGTGACAAATTAACCATCGAAGCACACATAGCATACTTCAATATTCTAATATCAATATTCTTAATTTTGAATGACAAAAAAAATAATTAATTTTGCTACTAGATACATACATTGCTTTGTTAGGCTTTTCCTAACTCAATGTTAAGTATAATAATGCGCAAACGGGTGCGGTATCCGTACTGCATTTCCAAAAATATCAATGACGACATTTGGTCGGATTAATTGAATAAAAACTTCAGGCATTGTTATACATAAAGGAGACTGAATTCTATAGTCAAATTTTGTAAAGAGGCTCAAGCACAGAAATGTAACTGGAAGAATAGCAGCTGTATGCATTTATGCTTAAAATTGTACCAAATGAACATTATTCATTCACGTCAATTCATTCTCGTGCTCTAGAGTATTGTGCTTCTAATGCCCACTGTGGCAGCTTTTGTCATTTTCCCCCCAAAAATTTTGGAATATATATTCATATTCTAAAGGTAACTTTTCTCAGGTAAAACCAAACGTTTTCACTTTTAATGTAGTTTCATTATATCTAAACCTTACGAAACAGCCATATTTTATTTTCTTAATAATGCTGACTTTGTTAAGAATGACTTTAAGGCACAACATCTAAAAATAAGTATCTAGCGGTTCTAAAGAATAGAACAGACTATTTGGTACTAGTTATTTTTCTAATTTCTTTGGTCGAGCTAGGTTCCCCCATCCTCTTGCCAGCTACCATCTATCGCCGCCTAAAGTACACTTTTTAAAATTTTTCTCAAATTTTTTGTTCCCTATTAGTAAAACCGAAATATTATTTTAATAACATTACAGAAGATCTTAAAATGAATATCTCAGATAACTCTTCTTCAATTTTGTACTTGTAGGAAGACACCGAAAAAATTTCAAACCTTTGCAATTTTTGAAAATTCAGAGTTAACAGTGGAAATCGCACATATGCCTTCTCTAGAAGTCTATTTCACTCTATTCTTATAAAAATTCTTATAGAAAAAAATGGATCCATTTTTGAGAAAATGTAGAAACGACACAGGGGCTTCGTGTAAAGTACTCTAAAAATTTAAAGAATGTTTTTAAAATTCTCATATCTTCGAGTCGAAACAGATCGATCAGGGAATATTCATTTTGGGAAAATCCTACTAATAGTTTAGACGCTAGTGTTGTTCAGAAACGGACGTTTGAAAAAAACCTTTTATGATATCAGGGGTTCCAAAACGTATTTCTGTTGAAATCTCGAAATCAGATAACTTTCTCTATGCTACGTATATTACTCCTTATATACGTACGTATATGAAAATGTACAAATGGATTTGTTCCATTATAAAAAAAGCGTCTAAAAAACAAACCGTGATAAATATTTTTTGTTATGGGATATTCGTTTTCAAAATAGACGTTATTACGAAAACCCTCTCCGACTGAGCTGGTAGTGGTTTCTGTGGTCTTTTTGGTAGTAAACTACATACTTTCTGTTGAAGTTGAACAAAATGGTACATGTGTCATTCTTTTAAGCAATCCTTTTTTTTGTCTGGAAAAATGAAAAAAATTGGAGAGGTTTTTAAGATTTTTTTGTGTCTTGCTACTGCTAACGCAGAATAAAGAAAGTATTGTAATAGTTGAGAATTATTCACGTTTGTTTCTTTGTAGTAGTAAGAAAGGACAACTGTTCCTAACTAGCGAAATAATTGCCTATATCCACTGCGTATCTCTCACCAGTTGAGGTAGCAACCCAGCCGGAATAAGCTCTAAATTCCCGACCGGTCTCCAGCCATGAGTGGTAGTGTAGTGTATGAAAATGTAAGTGTATATAAGTAAGGGAGAGGAAAAATCGCGCGCGGCCGCGATACGTGGTCCGTGTCGAAAAACCTGTCACCATCGGGGCTCGAACCTAGGACCTCCCTGTCAAAGGCACCGTAGTGACATCCGTTAATGGCCTAAACTCATGGAGCTAAGAATAGCTCCATGCCTGAGCTACTTCGCTGTCATTTGTTAGTGTCCAACACTGATAGTTATGGTGACGGAGGTTTGAGGAGAGCTGGCGTCCCAGTAGAAACAAGAGTACGAAGTAAAAGGTGCGCGGGAAAAGAAGATCTCTAGCCTGCATACTCACATATGCAGAGGTCATGGCCGGATAGGACTCGAAGAACACCGTCGTCTGGTAGAGCGGCAGCAGGATGCGGACGACGCGCATCGCCACCCACGACGACGCGCCGAGGTACAGCAGCGCCGCCACGGCGTTGAACAGCGGCTCCTGGAGCAAACGCAGCCGGACTGGTCAGACCCATAACCGGAGACCTCCCCCAAATAGAAAACGACTAACAACAAAACGAACTAAATGCATTACAGTAACAATGCTTGAGCTAAGTTTGAAAAAAGTTTGAACTTTGTGCTTAACCAAGTTTTATTAATTTTTCCTTAAATGAAAAGTTGTGGGTCCTAGATGTGTTCTTTCTTGCTCTTTTAAACCGATATGGTGTTATAAGGATTAAATTTTAACCATATATGAAAATTAATATTGTAGAATGAATCATTATCTGCACTATTTGCTTAGTATTTTTTCATGCGAATTAAAATCAATCTATTGAAAGGAATTACCTTCGGGGTTTAGCACGAGAAAGCATTTGAATGTGAGGTTACAATTAGAGAAGCGAAAATAGGTATTTTTTTTTAACTTCGAAGAGTGGTTTTAAGTGCAGTGATTGGCGAGTACCATTTTAACTTTGAGTTCACTGTGAGTAGTGAATGTATTGTTTCAGAATTTGTAAACTATCCTCATTTCATTAGTCTTCGAGATTTTTACTGAACGACATAAAACAATATATTGGAGCTTTGCACTTTTCCGTTTACAGAATATATCTGGACTGTATCTTTTCTACAACTCTTCCTCTTGTGCGATGATATTGCAAGGGTTCACTTTATTAATATGAAATGTGAACGAAAATAAATATTTTTCGGAAGACTCGTTAACCAATCATCAGTTAATCGAAACCGAAAAGAATTGCTTTAGTCTAAGTTCCGTAATAATATTGTTTGTAATTACAATAGTTTTTATGAACTTAGCGGGAAAATATTCCACATATTTTGTTAAGCGATGTTTTTAGAGGCCTATTTCTAAAATTTTTGTAACATAGATGAGTTAAATTCGTTGATTCACTTGATATTTTTGGGAAGAGCATCAATCCGAAAGCTTTTGCATAACCTTCTTCAATTAAACAATTAGTAAAATTAATTTAAAAATAATAATAGTAATAATAAATAATTGTATATTCTAATTCCTAAAAATCTTCCAGTTTATCTGTTGTTTTCTCCAGCCACATTTGTGAGAAGAGCTCTTGGCTTCAGATAAAAAGAAAAATTAATTTAATGCATAGTTCTCCATCTCTATCTTAATCACATGGTATTCTCTGGATGTTTCTTCGTAACTAGAATATGTGTAATGAGTTAAATGTTTGCTTTTATTGTAATTTTCATATATTAATATCTCATTTGTAAAGTTAATATCTGTCGATAAACATTTTCTGATTTAGATTATCACAGTTTGTTGACGTTGACTACAGACGGACGAACACGCAAACAAACGTTGTGCTGTAAATTGCTGTAACAATTTTTCGATATCAATTATCCACAAAATATGGATTCTGACTACACAACGTGTTAGAGGAAGTAATTTATTTCAAGCAGGAACGAGAATTATTCATTTTTTCAGTATCAGGGCTTCACAGTACGAGTTTTTGTGATGAACAATCGTCGTTTTTTGCCGATGTATACGAGAAAGTAAAACACAGTATTATACAAGTTAGGTTGTGTTTGAATCGGAATCAAACGGAAGTATGAGTTCTCCACAATTACTGTTACTATTTCACTACTATCTTTAGTAGTATCCTACAACAGACCACATTATCTTTACTCTCTTGAAAACAACTAGACATTGTCAGCATTCTAGCGTGAAAAAAACCTAACTTGCTTATCCTCTCTGTCTAAGGTCTTTTTCGTATTTGTATTCCCAGTCTGCTACACACTCTGCTTCCACAGCATGAAACTTACATTTAATTACTGTGTTATTTTGCTTGTCCGGTTGTTACAGTAATCGCAATATTTACTGTAAATAATAACCCATAAAATGGAATTGCAGCTGCTGAAGATATTTTGCACAACGACGTGTTCACAAAATAAGATTGGTACTGATTTCGAATACAAAAAGAGGGTTTTTGAAGTACATTATTCAATACGTGGCAGTATTTAATTATTATTAATAATTCCATAGTATTTAATATAACTAAGGAACGTTTTGATTCAATTTTCAGAAATGAATTAAACAATGTTAGAAACATTATTGTGTATTACTGCTGCGTAGATTGAGTTGTTTGATGCTCCATAGATCTCAATTGAATTTATCGTAAGGAGAAGAAAATTTCTAACACTAAGTAGGTAAAAACCACCCATGCGATATTGTGATTAGCAGGCGGTACGCTGAAAAACAAAACTATTACTTGTGAACGATTATTGCAAAACGTGTATAGAGAAAAAGTATGTAGAAATACATAAATTAGTTATAGAAGTTTGACATTTATATTGTAATTATCTGTAATGAAATTGTTTATGCGATCTTATTAATGGAAAAAGGGAGAAAGACCAGAAATAACGTAACCTTTCATTTGTGAACGAGCGTCACATCCCTAGTTATTTATTTTGACTTCGTGGTTGGCTGGGTTGACGGTGTTTTTCCAACTCGTTCTCCCGTTTTCCTATCTATTCCATCTTCAATCTTATTAAACATTTAATCATGTTTCATAATAAAAAAAAATCTTGGTCATTGCATCTCAACGTTTATGCCATGCCCGATATCTCGAGAACGGTCACGTTGAGATTCTATTTTTGGAAGTGTGACCATTGCGCCACCCCTCGAAATTCACGTCATATGTTTGATGGATTAATTAATAAAAGAATAACTAATTAAATAAATATCTAGCCGCACTAAGTGCATATTACAACTGTGTTTTCGTATTTGAACAATTTTGTTAGGTGAGACGATTGCGCAATGAATACGTTCTACAGCGGTGTCTGCTCGCCAACATTCACGCAACACTCACGAACAGGGAGGCTCGCACGAGGCGGCAGGAGTGCTCCGAGAAGACGTAGGTGACGAGCAGCAGCCACACGACGAGGCCGCAGCTGGAGACGGTGTTGAGGAAGCTGATGAGCGCGAAGCCCAGGCGGTCGGCGTTGGTCGTGCCGAAGTTGAGCAGCAGCATCTCGCACATGGCGCTGCACGCGAGCTGCGCCAGCTTGAGCGCGCCCGGCGCCGAGCGCAGGAAGGCCAGGTTGAGGCAGGTGCAGCAGCGGCAGCAGCCGCAGTCCACGCCCCCGCCGCCGCCCCCGCCACCGCCGGGCCCCGGACGCACCACCACCACGCGCGGCGCCATGCGCGTGTTCATCTGCAACGCGTGACCACACGCGCTAGTCATTGAATGACTCTTTAGGGTTACGGAAGTGCTATTGCCCGGAGAGGTGGCTCAGGACATGAAATGGTATCAGTGCAGTGCCTAGGAGGTCTTAGGTTGGAGTCCCGACGGTGGCAGGATTTTCGACACTTGCTATATAGATGGGTCACTGCCGCCGTCTGGAGGGGAATTCTGGCGGCCGGCTGCCCTGATCGGTTTCTCCGATTAACACCAGGCGAATGCCGGAGTAATACCCTAACAATAGGGCCATGAACAGCGCGCGATCGATTCTTCCCCTTCCTTGCCCTATCCTCACCCCTCACTTATACACACACTTACATGCCCTTCACTGCCACACTTGCCGGGAGCTTAGAGCTTGTCCTGGCTGGGGCGGTGCCTCGCTGGCGGGAGATACATGGTAGTGGACCCCCCCCCCCTAAGCGACGGTAATGTTGGGACCGGACCTCGCAATTCAGAAGGGGATGATCACCGCCACCTCCCAAGAAAACGCATATGGGACTAATGACCTTAGCGCGTCCTAATCACTAATTAATGAATTAGTCACGTAGTGAGTGTTTTTTTTTATCTCTGGAGGTGACAGTGACTTTCTCTCGTTGGATGGTTAGAACCGGCGCCGACCTACACGTCTGCTTGTGTGGTTTTCATCATACAGGTATCTCTCACCAGCCGGGCACCGCTCCAGCCAGGACCAACTCTAAGCCCCCAACCGGTTTCCCGATATGTGTGTAAGTGTAAGTAAGAGGCGAGAATAAGACAAGGAAGAGGAAGGAAATTCGCGCGCTGTTCGTGACCCGTTTCTTAGATTTCTAGTTCTGGTGATGACTGGAGAAACCATAGAAAACTACCGTTCTGAGCAGCTGTCCCCTAAAATTCTTCTCCGAACAGGAAGTGTAGACTCTCACATCATGGCCAGGGTGCTGATAGAAAATTTTCTCAGGAGTCGACCAAAAATTAACACTGGTACTGCTACAAAACACGTACTTTCTCGCATTATTTGTAACTGTCACAGAAAAACCTTAGAAAATTATTTACATTATAAAAAAATATTTTGTCATAATTTAATGATATAATTTTTAATAACGAATTTAATTAATAACAATTCTTTAGTTTCAATATTGTAGTTTTAGGAAGACACCGTATAAATTTTAAACTTTGCAATTTTCAAAAATTCAGAGTTCTACGAAAATCCGATCCGCGCCATTTTTATAATCGTATGCTCTATCCATGAAAAAAGAGAGAGAAAATCTATCACTCTGTGCAATACGCCATCTGACTGTGGCCTTCTGCCAGGTAAACAGTATTTGTGATTGAAAGTTGCTGAAGCCACCTTTTTGGTGATAAGATGACTTGGTGCAGAACATTAACTGCATTGTACGAACGATACATTTCAGAATAATTTAAAGAAAATTCATTGTTATTGCTATGACTTCCTTAATTTCGTAATACTAAATTCTGTAATGCAATTAGCTACCGATTCAGAAAAGCTCATGGAGATATTTGAACATCATTGCAAGAACTACTTCAGAAAATGTTTAACAGAGAGCACTAAAACATATATACAAAAATTAATTGAATGTAGGCTATTTAGGATAATATCTTTATTTCCTAAAAATTTAAGAGATATAAATGAAATGAGAAAATGCACCGATTGTAATTATATGTTTTGTTTTATTGAAACCTACCTGACTAGTATGAAGAAGCTGATTGAAACATAATAGCTTATTATGTTTTATTTTCATTTGTCTATTTACGCACAAAAATTGAGGGGGGGGGGCATTAAAGAAAGTGAAAAGTCTTCGCTTCTTTCATTAATGTTTATTATCATTTTTCATGATTCATTTTTATTATCCTTTTTAATTTCAACGTAATAACCGATGTTTTTAATATATATAATCAACCAATAATACAAGAATATTGCTGTGAAATCTTCCTATGGTTAATAACAATATGCTAAATTCGATTTCTAATAAATTACTCAATCCAATTGTATATTTTTAGTGATACAAACATTCCAATAAGCCAACAAAATTAATAAATTGATTCCATTTGCGATTGGCATACAAATTGAACTAATAGTCACTCGTAGATAATCGAAACAATGTCGTGTTCTGAGTAAAGTCTCGCGTGATATCTTTCCTTGTCAACAGAGTTTACAGTAAACTTGACATTTCATCATTCTCTCTTCCGCTGCAAGTTCAGTCTTGCTGATAATTTGGACTCCTAGCCCGTTCATTGTTTCTGGTCTTCAAGGGGAGCAGTTGCGTCTGTTAGGCGGTCACTGACCTGTATGAGCGGACATTACTAAAACACTAATTCTTTTAAAACGTGTTTTTAAAATAGTTTAAAAGATTAAAAACTACCATCTACAAAATAGACTATTTAAAATAATTATGAAACGTGGTTGCAATGAAAACAAAGTTGGATATAGCATTTCGTAACTCTGTATTTTAACACAGTTGTCTTAGTATACTGCATAGGTAATTATGTAATATATCGAAAATATTATTCGTAGTAATAATAATTTCGTATTATGAATAGGTAGTACATATTTGTTTCATGTTTCGTGTGATATAACTGGTTACGCCCTTAGCTGTCAGAATTATTGTTTTTAAATCATTAATTAGCCTATGTCCAAAAGTATATTGAATGACAAAAATCCGTCCCTGAGGAATGTTTGCTTGGCGAATGCAAGCAACATTTCCCGTATATGTGTACCACAGTACTCATATCAGTATGCCAGAGCATTCATATCTATTACTGAACCAAACTGTTCTTATACCCTGGCAATACCACAAGCATCATCTTTGCTCAGGTTTAAGTACATACCACTTTCCTCGTCAACAGCAACAGGAACGCCGGTGGCGAAGATGAGCGGGGCCGGCCGGATGCGTGGCGGCTGCTGGGTCCTCGCGGTGAGTCTGCCGCCAGCCCGCCCTCCCGCGCCGCCGCC